AAAGAAAAAAAGAAAAAAAAAAAAATCAAAGAATATGGCTGCAAGAAGGTGATTTTTTTTTTATATATATTTTTTTATTTTTCTCTCCTCCCTCTGTTGCTACTGATTTGATTTTACTGTCCTGTTTTATTCTTCTACAGTTCTTTATACAAAAATGTACGGAAAGATAGGCGCGAACTATATCTCTAGTCATCTTTGTCCTCGTCTTCATCATAGTTGAAAGGCAATGGCACCGACTTGAAAGCTCGATATTTGCCGACATTGTTAAGGTGTTCATTCTCCAGTCTACATTAGGATAAATTGATAATAAGACTAAGCGCACCCTTAGATCAATTAGGATGAACTTCATCTGTAAACTACAAAAAAATTTAGTTTTAACATTTGATGGGCTTTGGTATGACTAATAAGTACCTGAAGAAGTTCCATATACCACGACGAATGATCTCAAGAGAAGCCACAATCGTGATCATCGTCTGTCTGTGAAGTGAAAAAACGGTAACATTCATCACGGTTTGCATCCATGCAAGTCTCAATATCACATTCAGAACCTGCCAAAAACGAAAGAAAAAAAATAAATAAATAAATAAATGAACAAAAATTTAGAAACGTTTGCTACAATTTTCCGTAGAACTTACCATGGCCACAAAGTAAACAATTTTGTGCGGGATAAGCAGTTTGTCTCTCAACAACCGGTTTTTGGAGTGCCATTGGAAAAGCCCCCAGTCGATAACAATGTCCCAATACGTGCTAAGGACTGTTGCGAAAATCGATGTTATCAAAGCCGTTAGCCTCCAAGCGAGGCTCCTGTTGAGAGTATAGGCTGTTCGTGTGCTAACTGCAACTATGGTCGATAAGTACTTGAACCCGTTGTACCCATGCCTCGGGTCTTTCTCTTCCAATGCCCGTCTCACACACTACAAATATTTTTAATTTATTTTGAAAATTGCAAAATGTAAAACATTGTGATGCTTGATTCGGTTAGTCTCATCTCGATTTTTTTTTTTTTTAGATTTGTGTTCAGGGGTATTTCTGATTTGATCGTTGAATTCATAATTAGGCTAAGGTTATGTTTGGTAAAACTAGCTGATAAGCTAGCTTAAAGCTTATAAGTGATTTTAGAACTTATCGCTGAAAAATTAACTTATATGATAATAGTGTTTGGTAAAATTAGCTGATAAGCTAGCTAAAATAAAAATTTTAACCATCTTATTTGAAAAGCTACCCAAAGAAGCTTATAAGATAAGCTCGTCCTACCAAACGAAGCTATATATTTGAATGCAGGAAACTTATAAGCCAATCAAATAAACTGTAAGCTAGCTTATTTGTCTACCAAGCATAGCCTAAATTTTGAGTCTGAGTAAAATGACTATGAGTTTGATTTATGCACCTGAAGGAGTCGCCAATAGTACGGTATTGCGGCCACAATGTATGAGAAAGTCTTGAAAAAATCGCTCTCTCGACAACTGTTCTCCCTCATTTTGTAATCACCCCAACCATAGTAGCAAATGTAAAACTCTAAACTCCTCAGAGCTTGAACCTGAATTAAAGATTTTGTCACACAGTTATTTTCTGCATCGTTTTATACCAATTTCTTAACCGGAAAACTGATGATCTTTTTACGACAGATTTGAAGAAAGAAGGTACAAAAAACCTGGCTTGTAAGCTGATCTGCTAAGAAGAAGTCTGGTAATGATACCTGCAATGCAAAACACAGATTTTGTAACAGCAAAGTATCATCAGTTCCCTAAACTTTTCAGGATAATTGTAAAAACTACCCCAGAGGTTTGGTCTATTTACAAAAGGCTAGTTGTTTTCTGCACATAACTAAAGTTAAATGATGAAAATGTGGTTACCTTATAAAGAGGAGCTAAGACACAATGGAACAAGCAGACGAGTAAGAAGAAGCGACTCGAACGGTATAAAATATTTAGAGGGCACAGCATAATCAGAATCACAAGCTGCCAAAATTGATGAATTCCAAATTAAAGTATAATGTGGACTTAATAAAAAAAATACTTTGTTAAAAAGAAAATAAATTGTGATTTGAAATTATTCCATACCAGTACTAATCCGAGAGGAACGAGCTCGGTTAAGCCTCTATAGTCCTGAGTAACGGGATCCATTTCCATATCAAGATTTGCTAGCACACCGGCTAAAGCCAGCACACTTAACCCAAAACCGAGAAGCAAAATCTCTTGGTAGCCAAGTTCAGTTCCTTCTTTAAAACCGAATATGAAGGTGTAATTAACTCGATACCTCCTCCAAAAGTATATGTTTGCAGCATACATCATCATGTGCAGAACGATGAACCCGAACAAGCTGTAATTAGGTTTCGTTTATTATAAGCTGTAATTACACCTTTTTTTTCTTCTTCTAATTCAACTTAATTAGGATTTACCTGTAAAGAGGAAACATAGTTTCCATGTACAATACTCTCCCTTCACTGTTTAGGATTTTACGTGCGCGAATAATCAAAACTAATGCCACTATAAGTGCAATGGAGCAGCCAACAAGAAAACCTGCAAAATATATTTTAAGTTAAAAAGATTCGAAAATGTAAACAAGAGAGCCTCATAAAACAACACTGTAGCTAATTTTGATAGATTACAGAAAAATAATGGAGTATAATATTAGGTCTTTACCAGTACAGAACGTAATTCTGTGCTTTTCCCTCTTCTTTGTCGGCCTCAAAATATTCATCCCTTTACTACGGTTCGAGTTTGAAAAGTGCTTGATGAAGGTTGCCTCTACTCTTTCCATCAATTTGCTGACCTATTTAACAGTAAATAACAAATACAAACTCTTACAAAACCACATTTTTTTTTTGTTATATGACACTTTGTGCAGAACATATGTTGAGCATAAAACTCACCTCATCCGAGCTGCCGAGATATGAATTATCCACCATTTTCATGTACGGTTTTGATGCACTTCTTGAAGCAATCTGCGAATGAGTTAAGAACTAAACTTTCATAAACTATACAAGATGAGGTTCACATTATAGATATTTTTCACGATTTACCTTATCGTACTTTTTCAAGATTTTCGAGAATGCCAGAATATTGAGGAAACTGTTACATGGTACAAAAACAATAAGCAAAACACAACATCATGAAAAACAATGCATTGAAAAAGAACTAAAACACTCTTATTTTTTTTTTATTTTTTTTTTCGGGCTAAACCTGTAGCTTTTCAAAAGCCTCAGCTTGTGGTAGAATTCGACAAGCGCCTTCTTAAGTTGCTCCTCTGCTTTCCTCAAATTATCCTTACGGAACTTAAGTTTTGTTTGGTCGGGAAGATTGAGAAAGCCTTTGATTGTCGAACGAGGTGTTTCTTTAGAAGTGTTGAACTTCACATGCTCGAGTATCTTCACATGAGCTGCCCCAATAAATTCATTTTGCTCGTTTTCTCGATTTTCCGAATTTTCTAGTTTCATTTCAAAATCACCCGGTTTTTCTTCTAATTGCCCCTCATTGGTTGAAATATCTTCGTCTATAAAATCCATTCGAATTCTTCCTGAAAATTTCGATAGTCGTTTTTTCATTTTCCACTAATCAATGAAAGTTATACAAATGCAAGAAAACACGAATAGTATTACGAAACAATTCATTATTATATCGGCAAAACCAACTGTCGAACCGAAGCATAAATAGGAAATTGAACAAATCATAATCACAATGTGCGTAAAAATGGAAAAACAAAATGTTCACTTCGATCTTGAGTGGCACGAAATCGAACCAAAAATGCAAAAAAAACATCGATATGCCCGAAAAAAGAAAGAACCCTTTTCCCTCCTTAAAAATATATTTAAAAACTGCATGGTCAGATTTCCTTAAATCTCAATCTCTTCATTAATTAAAAATAAAATAAAAATAAAAATTAAATAAGCACTGACTTACTGCTACTTCTAACAGCAGCCAGTGGAGTAGTAGAAGCCAGGGCAGCCCTGGAAGCCGCCACGTGGCATGCCAGCCTGCTGCTCTCCTCCTCCAGCCCACTGTGAGCCCAACCCGCTGGGCTCTCGACCTTGACCCGGAACGCGACGAGAGCCTCCATCTGCCTGTTGAGCCCGCGGGCCTCCTCGACCACCTCCTCTGTTTTGGCCCGGTAGAAGCCCGCCGCCTTGTTGAACTCGGAGTCCAGATTTTTGAAGAAGACGAGCTCCTGCTCGCCGCCCTCGTCCGCCGCCATCAGGAACATGGTCTCCGACCGCTCGTTAACGTTGTTCACCACGATCACTTGGCTTTCCACATCGGCTGTTGTGCCACCGTTGTTGTTGTTGCTGTTGTTGTTGGCCCGTTGGGTTAGGCCGCTGAAGGCCCGGTAGAGGGTGAGGCTGCGTTTCGGGCCGGGCCGGGTCCTCTGCCGGGACATTTTGATTTCTTTGAGGAGGTTTTTGAGGAGGCGGTAGTCCATGTAAGCCTGCTGCCATTCGGGCACCATTTGTGCTTCGAATTCTTTCCCAAATTTCATGTTTTTCTTTTTTTTTCTAAAGATTGAATTTTATTTTTTTTTAGTTATAATCTTGCAAGAAGGAAAAGAAAAATGGAGTTCAAAATTTGAGATGAAAATTTCAAGTGTTTATCAGGTGGGCTTTTTATAACATTCTGAGTTGTACGGTGTGACAGATAAGCGTGTGTTGATTCGTT